TTCAACATACATAATTCGTTCATAAATCAACCGAAATGCAAACTATCCATGCGCCTCGTCGCAGAATCCAATTAGATTCATTAGACTTTCAGAAAAGAAATCGCACAAAAAGAGGACAGCAGTAGAAAAAAAATAAGACAACACTAAAAAACACTTTCTGTCTCTAAAGAAGTTACTTGACTGCGCACAAGACAAAAAATCAAAGCTTGGCGAAGATTTTAGATTTGCGTGACCAAGCGTAGCGAAAAATGTTAATAATGTCATTCATTGTCAATAATTACGGTTTACGTTTGCAAAGCACTGAACGAAGTGACATATTAGCAAAATGGGATTATGGCGGATGAAACTAATGATTACTTAAGTTAATTAAGACGATTATGATTTGAGTTGCTTCAGTTTGTCTCGGTTTGACACATAAAAATTCTGAATAAATTATTGCTTTGATGTTTTAAATGAAAAAGAAATCGAATGCAAAGAGATTTATGTTCTTAGTTAGATTAGCACGTGATTGGCATTTAAGCAGTTTCTCTTCTTCACCTTCTTCTTTTTTTTTTTTGGTCTACTAATCTTATAAAATGCCGAATCTGACTTTCACCGGTTTAAGTTTTGTACATTCAAAAGCTCTAAAAGTGCTGTGAGACGTGGCAATGCAAGCGCTTTCTCTAGCACTTTCTCGAAAATCTACTTTCGGAAATAAAAATTGCAAGCTGTAACTGCACCTGAAATTACGCAAATCGCTTTCGAGAAATAATTTCAACTTGCACGTGCACAAACGATTTTCATTTTTGCTGCAAGTTTTGTCATACCAATTGAATGTTGCCGTGTGACGCGATTTTTTGTAAATTTGTATAAAACTATAAGAATGTTGTATCACTTAAACAAAAAAAATTTGTTTCTTTTAGCATTTAAACAAAAAATTCAGGTCAGTTTTTAAGCACAAAACTGTCTGCTAAGATAGTTGAAAGTGGAATATTCTGCATTCAGCATTTAAACAAACCAAAAGTAGTAGCGGCAAGTCACTTTACATGCAAGATGTAAGTGCTCGTGGAAATTCTTGAGTTTGACAGACTTTTCAAAAGAACTTGCACTCGCCCCGTCTGAAGGCTACTTTAGTCCTATGCTCACCGTTAAATTTGCTTGAATAGTGATGTAACTTCATATTCGAGTCAATTCTCCCAGCTCATCTGAGAGCAAGCGGCTTTAGACGTTTCTTAAGTCAAAACCATATCTACAAAATACTTCAACTGGTATTTTCAACAATAGCTAAGTAAATAAGTACACAAGTAAAAGTAAAAGTAGTTTTCTTTCGCTTACCTCATTTGGATGTTGAGCCTCTCCGTCTGTTGTATCCCTGCTATCCTCCGTCTTTTTCGTCAAAGCGGAGGTGGAAGCATTTATTTCGTTCGATCTATTGTTTCTTGTATTTGTTTTGGACTTATTGTTGTTATTATTTTTCTTTGGTTTCGTCGTTTTATTCGTCGTTTGTTGATTTGTCGTTGCATTTCTGCTTTTCACTTCAGCTTGGCTATTTGGCCGTGCCTGTAGTGTTTGTAATTCCTTTCTAAGTTGCCCAATATTACGTTCTTTGGTTTTTATTTCCTCCAGCTGTACAAATAGAATGGAAAATAAGTAAATATAAATCTGTTTGATTAACAAGTGTTTATCATAATTAAGGGAAAATGTAATTTGTATTAATTAAGTGCTTCTAATAGTTGGTTTCAAAAATCAGCCATGATAATGTTTTGACACATCTCGTCGTACTTCAGACACAATCGGATTTCTGTCTCAGTGGACCTGAATAAACTTGAAGTTCTAGCTCCGTTTTAGCCCATCATTTAAGGTTGAGCCCATGGAAGAAATTTTTCTTTTCAGCTCCTAAATTTCCAGCCACTTTGAAATTTGCAAGATGACATACTCCTCTAACTGAAGAGTGCATCTTGAACTTTTTTATTTTTTTTGGGTAGCATTTTTTAACGCTACCTAAGCCTCCAAGACTGCTATAGCCCGATTCCTATGTCCACATAGAATGTAACCACCCAAGTTTGGCATTGTGGGTGCATATAGAAATTACTTCAGACAACTGTATGAGACGTCTGCACGCCTCACGTCGGAAGCCCTAATGCTAAAACAACGGTAAATTAAAATAAAACTTAAATTTTTTCATAACTTTTCAATCTTAAATCGCCCATAAGCAACTTGCTAATATTCTTTAGATTTTTTTAATTAACAGATTTTTAAATTTCATGACCACCATTGCTATAAAACCCGCTTATGAATCATTTGAGCAGCTCGTGGGAAGATTTTTTCCGCCAAAAACTTCACCACTTTTTCCATTTTTTTTATTCATCCATAAAAAATGCACAAATTCAGAGCCGCAGGCTACAGGCGAGTGCGTATGTTCAAACAACCCCGCACGAAAAAAACAGTCTGGAAATTCACGCAAAAAGAACGTAGACAAGGCGATCTACTGAGCAAGCAAGCAGCTAACAATTTACCGGGCTCTTGCGAAAGCCAACGAAAATCGGCGGCCTGCGCACTGCAATTTCGCACTCATTTCAATTTGGCCTGTGGCTAACACTTGTTGCCTGCGTAACCATAAATCAAATTTTGCAGCGTGAATGGGTGCGACGACGAGTGCACATATTCATTGGATGCTGTCGATTTGGTAGTTATGTACTTATTTAGTTAGCTCAACGGTGCAAAGTTGTTGACAATTGTTGTGACAGATTATTGACAGGCATCGATAACGATAATTGAACGTATTTTGGAGTTATTTATGACAAAATAAATTGATTTTTTTGAACTGTTTATATGTAAGCATAAAAGCAGAGTTTTCAAATAAAAACAACGGCAAAAACAAAAAAAACCTATTCAAATCTAGCAAATTGGCGCAAAAAATTTATAAATATATTTTTTTAAATAAATCTTTTGGATATACTAAAAATTATATACACACTCGTCTGAGTAATCTTTCTTGTTCCACTCCCACTTCCGGCTGCTATGGTCCTCAGCGGAATAGGCGCAGGGAAGACCAGAAAAATGCCTGCAGCAACTAGAATTTTTTTCATTCAAGCCAAAATGAAGCTAAAGTTGCTTACAAATTCGATTGTATATACACACATACATACATAAACAGCTATTACATTACTGCATTTGCTGCATGCAACATTCTTTGCTTCATGAAAATGACTTTTGATTCCAGCAAAGTGCGTGCTGGCGTCGATCTCACTTGACCACGCATCATGACTCACTCCATTGTGTAGATAAATGTATTTATTCTTAACGAATGTCGGTGCCGGTCGTGCACATTAGAAAATGTTCTTAATGGGAAATTTCGTTAACTAATTTTTCTCGTGTTTCATGTTGATAACGTAAAAATGTTAAATGATTTTTCTTAGTTCTCCATCTCGGTTGTAGTATTCGGTGTTTAATACTCGTAAAAGTTCAAAAGAAAGCAGTTATTGCAACTCTAGCTACCGATTCGTATAATGGCAACTAAATTTATGTGCATATAAGTGCATATGTACGTGTGTACGCATAGAAGCACTGTTGAGCCTCAAACTGATGGAATTCATTCAAAAGTTAATTCTCGAACGAATGCTTTAAATGATTTCTGATTAAAGTCTTAAACCAGAGCTTACATGAATTGAAGAAACTTTTGCACTTTTCCGCTTGCTTAAGACATCATCAATTGCTTGTAGTAGTTCATGAATTTACTGGAATATATGTTGGTGCATGGTTCAGTTGTTCTTTTCAAAGCACATATGTAGATATACCAAAAAAAGTCTCATTCTCTACAAAGCAGGAACGTTCTCATTTTTATATAAGTATGCCAATGCCAATTAGAGTCAAGTGTTTAAACCCCAAGAAGAGACAAGTCAAGAGCCTCTCAGACTGCTACAAACCCGTCTGCTCATTGAGGACCGATACCTATCTAGAGCTTCTGAGATTGAAGACATCACGAGTTTTTTAGTTCTTATCTGATTATAAATACTGTGTGATTTGGGATTAAGAGTTAAAGAGGCTCAGCGAAAATATTTTCACTGAATCTTTCGATGCCGACCTCTCAGCAAATTATTAGAGCCGCAATTTTAAGGCATAATTCCTACGAGTAAAGTAAAACTTGACGCCATTTTTCTTTTTGTAAGTAAGCCAGCTCCTGACTTAAAGAAACCTTACATCACAATTTTTTCACTAAACATTCAAGGAGTCATATTATCCTGCAATAAGACTTTAGCGATCTTATGATCAATATAGAATTACACCCTAAAACCTTTTCAAAAAATCTAAATCTGAACACCACTGCTGTTAAGAGAGGCATAATACGCAATGTTATTGAGAATCACGGTTTTTTAATAAAATTTAAATCCTCTTTAACTGTTGCGAAACCTAAACAAAATTTTCTAGTTATGCAGAAAAAATATTGCATTACTTTATTGTACGCATAAAATCTTCCTCAATCATTAGAGTCAACTATAGTCTAAGGAAATAAAATCAGTTGCATTTAAATTATAGTGGATGGGCTGTGAGCCTTTCATTATAAGCTCTCTTTCGCGTGAACGCCATTTCAATTGATTCTTTTATTGAACCTCATAATTAAGCCATGACTTTAATCACAAAGTAAGTTTAGAGGTAAATAGAGGATTCGTCAACGCCTGGAGTGCAGTTCGCCCAGATTCAGCATTAAATCATCACAAATGTCTAAAACTAAGTTTACCAGAAAGATTTATCCAACATTGTAAGAAAGGTGTAAAACTATCGATGGCACTATCGATAGTATCGATGCTTTTATTTTTCGTTCAGTATTTATTCTAATTTTATTTCTTTTTTGTATTTCATTTCTATGAAACATCCAAGTTGAATTAAAAATTTTGTTGCTACTTTTTCTAAATAGTAACGAAAATTTGCAAAAGTACGGAAAGCCTTCCACCTTTTAAAATACAAATTAACTTATAACAACACTTTTAATGTTCTCTACTCACCACTATTGACTATTTAATAAAAAGTAAATAAAAACGATAACTTTTTGGATAAAAAATGGTTTCTTGTTTTAAAATTCCAATCTACTTTCTGAATGCCTCATATTTGACGGAGGATATCTAAGACCACAAATATTAAATTCCAGAAAGCCCAATTTATTTTAAATTTTAATTCATTTCAAATTTTCCACAACTTTACTTCTAACTTAGCGGTTAAACAATTAAAAAAAAATAACATGTCCAGTAGGTTACAACGGTATCCAAACTTCAAATCCGAATGCATTTTTAAATAAATATTCATAAAAAAAATTTGGCGAAAACCTTATACGATACTATCGACGATATATCGATAGTTTTGAAAATAATATCGAATACTATCGGTGGTCTGACTATCGATAGTTTTGCAGCTCTACATTGTAGTATCTTCTCAGCGAAACTTTTTTTTAATAAATATGTAGATACCACGTGACTCCCTTCGGCCTATAGCTCTATCAATACCGCAGATTTTTTAACTAATATCCCTAAATTTTCACGTTAAGCCTTCTATCGCACCTAAATATTTTTGAAGCGCTAAAGCGATTATTGCATTTGGCACTTCAACTAGTTCCCCATTCGTTTCAACTTACCAGACGTGAAATTTCAGTTTTGGCAGATTTAGTTAATTGAGTCAATCGGATTTCATAAGTGTCTTTCAATGTGCGCATATCAGCTGCTTTACGTCTGTCAGCGTCGCAATTGATCTGTAATAATTAACAGCAAAATGTAAATTTTCAACATGTCCCATGGAGAGTTAAGTATGGAACAGGGAACGAAAAGAACAACACTGATTGGCTGAAAAACGAACGTTGGTTAGTGGGCAAGAGACGCAACAAATTGTTTGTTAGGAACGATTCTCGTAGTAATTAAAATTTGATCATGCACTTAAAAACTAATATTAATTTCTTGTAAAATATTTAGTTCGCATTAACGTTTTCAAGCAAGTTTGTGTACATACTCACGTATGTATGTATGTATGTATGTATGCAATAAATGAAATTTGTTTGTTGTTTGCATGTGTTTGTTGCCACAACTCACAACACAACCTTTGCCATACATTACAATTATATAATTTTAAATGCATGTTAAGTAATGTTCCGTTGCTTATCGCAACATTAAATAAACAGAGTTCAACCGGCAGCAACAATATTTGCCATCCTGCCACATTTTCCAAATGACCTACAGTTTGTTCTACGATACGGCGCGAACTCGCCGGCAATTGTTGCAGCAAATGGCTCTAAAAATAAATAACCAAACCATCAACTGTCAAATGCAAAATAAATGGATTACATTAATGAAATTAATCATGGCATTAGCTTTCATCAGCTCCAATAAGCCAAATGCATATAATACACTCACACACACACACGCGCGATATCTGGCTCTTGTGTAAGTGTATTTGTGAAAAATATTCCATTAATGCATTTTCATTTTGGTCACCAGCTGGGATATGTCTATATCTATAAAAACAATCGACCACCAACTAAGCGTCCACATTTGCTCCGCATAACTCTACTCGTCTGGGCGCAATGCCACTATCGTTGCTGTATTCTCTCATCGGCATTTTCGCGGTTTGGATTTCCAAAACTCCGTCGATGGCCGAAGGTCTACTTGCGGTTAATTCTGCAATAGATGTNTTCTTCTGCATAGGAATCGCGTAAAGACTAAGCCATTGGAACTCATCAACAACGACGGTATACTGTTATATCTGGTAATGATCTTTCACGACGCTTCACAGCGCATCGATCTATCAATTATACAAAAATATTCCGCTGCGAAACACCTCTCGCACGTTATGATGCTAATCGTCAATTCGGAGACCGTCACCGAAGCTTGGTTGCGTCATACCTTCGCGATTTTTTGGCACATTTGGTTTCTTAATGTCGTGATAATGTTTCAACGCAACAATGAGCTGCATGTTTACAGATACAACCCATTTACCGATGAATTTCTTATAAAATTGGAACTAAGCAGCGGCGTGCTTCCGCGCAAAGACGACCTCTTCCCACCAAAATTACCGGATATGGGCGGCAAGCCGTTGAGCGTATGTCTGTACCAGGATGAGGTGCGAGCCATTTTCGAGGACGACGACGACGACCAGAAGGTTATCGGCAGCGATGGTTTCATGTCGGCTTTCATCGCCGAACGCTTGAATGCCACGCGTGTAATACATCGCGTCAGCAGATTTGGCAACTTCATGCTAAGAGCCGATATTTGCTTCAAGGAGATCACACATGAGCTAGATGATGTAGCCTTCAATACACGTTTCCTAGCGGCGCCGACATTTGCGCGACAAGTCGAATATACGATCGTGCACAGCCGTGACGACCTGTGTGTGTTAGTGCCGAAAACTAGGATTGCAACTATATTCTGGAACCTATTTCGTTCATTCACCATACCGGTGTGGCTGACGATACTGCTCTCGATACCGCTTGCCTATATCTTTTGCAACTTGGTGCACCTGCGTCTGCACAAGTGTGACTTCGATCTACTTCAACTGTACGCCACCACATTGTCAATGCCCTTGACACGTATTCCGGCACGCACCCCTCTGCGTATCTTCCTCTTCTATTGGCTCTTCTATGGCATGTTGATTTGCAACGCTTTCAAGGGAAATCTCACAAGCAGTCTCGTCTTTCGCACATATCAGCCGGATCTTAATACAATTAAGGATTTGGCTGAGTCACCGTATGACATGTTGACATATTCCAGACACTCTAAGCATTTAGAGCGTTTTCTCAATATAAGTGACCCTTATGAAGCCACAATACAGCGAAAATCAATCGTTGCGCCCGACGAGCAAATTGTAGCGAAAGTCCGAGAAAATAATCTATCGTACGCTTATCTGCAGAAATTTCACTTTGCAACGTTCCATGCGAACGCACGCATGCACTCACATCGGGGCAGGCCGCTCTACCACGTCATGTCCACTTGCCTGGTGCCTTTTCACGCCGTCTACATTGTGCCCTATGGATCGCCCTATTTGGGCTTCATCAACCGATTGATACGCAGCTCGATCGAATTCGGCTACGCTGTTCATTGGGAGAGTATCATGAATGCGGCATTCATAGAGTCGGGAAAGAAGAACATCCGCAATCCGATGAACGATGATGATCCAGTGGTGCTAAAGTTGTTCCATTTTCAAGCAGCCTTCTTTCTCTTGTTCTTGGGGCTAAAGCTGGCGTTCCTGACATTCCTGTGGGAGATTTTTAAGCACCGCTCCCCAGGATTTGATTTGAAGAAAGCAAGAATGCGTGTTATACATTCTCCAGCAAAGAGCGCACAAAACTAAGAAATTGTAACGATGTTGGTTTTATATAGACTACATACTACGTAAGTACATGGGTATCTTTTCAGCTCATTTTCAGTTTAAAGGTACATTGGATAAAATCGATTGAAATTTCAAACAATGGGTCAGTTTTATTGCACAATTAATTTTTTTATTTAAAAAAAACTTTGCATTTATACAAATAAATTTTAAAAGCCATAAATATGTATTAAAATAAAATAATTTGAATTGAGTTAAATCTAAAACTATCAGTACTTAGTTGGAGGCAAAATGAACGCCACGACCACAAAGTCCTTTTTCATCCCGACGATAAGTCCCTAATCCTGAAGGCCCATATTAAAATCTTTATTTTTCTAAGGCGTTCTAGTCCAAAATGGCACGCCAGTCGTTTCTCTTCTGTACCAACTGACGTCAGTTGTAAATGCCAAGTGAAGACAAGTCCGTCTCCGCCTGGTCTCGCGACCCGCTTTGAAACTTTCACAGCTGGAGCGTTTCTGCCCATACGAACGATGTTGCCGAAGCATTGGAGACGTTGAATTTTAAATCGCTGCTCTATGTCCATATCGTGGATTTCAAGGCTGCCATTATTAATAATGTTAATGCTGGTTCCCAAATAAACGAAGTAGTCTACTCTTTCAAACTTGTAACTCTCAATAGTGACGTGGTGGGTGTCAAGACGCTTATGCTCTGACTTTTTGTGATGACAGAGGTACTTCGTTTTGTCCTCGTTCACCACCAGACCTATTCGCTTTGCTTTCTATTAATCTCGAGAGGAAGAACAGCCCTTGGTTTTACCGATAATGTGATGCGTCGGCATACGCCAGCAATTGTACACTCTTGTAAGGTATTTACCTGAGTGGTCAGTTCTGGGCTCTTATTATCTTCTCCAACATCAGATTAAAGAAATCACACGAAGGATTCTACCATCTGAAACCTCGTTTGGTATCAAACGGCTCGGAGAGGTCCTTCCCAAATCTGACAGGGCTGACGGTATTGCCCAAAATCCAGACAACGCGGCATAAAGGGATTTTCTTTTCGTGCTTTCGAAAGCGGCTTTAAAATCGAAAAATAGATGGTGTGTGTCGGTCCGATTCTCGTGAGTCTTTTCCAAGATTTGGCGTATTGTGAATCACCTGATCATCTGATTCGTTAGATAAACTTTTGCTTGAGAGTTCTTTTCAGTATTTAGCTCTCAAGCCGGGAGGTTAATAATTTACATTTTTACCAAATACATTATGCGATATAAAATTTCATGTTCGAAACTTTAGGCAAATTTTCGATAAAAGAATCTTCGTGTTTTTTGGCGCCCATAAGCTTATTCCTTACTCTTTTATTATTAATCATTTATATATTATAACCACACAGTTATTTTTAACTCCATTTTAGCATTAAAAAATTGCATTGAACAAAACATTCAGAATTCACATTCATGCAGTAAACCCAGGAAATCATGCACTAACACAAATCGCACTCACCATTTTCTTCTCTTCTAAAGCTCTGTTCGCTTCCTTCAGCGCAATAACTTCATTTGTCAGTCTTTGTACTTCGTAGCTGGTTACATTGCCAGTCGTGGAAGCATTTGGCAAGTTCTCGCTGCCGGCATCTGTCGCCTTCTTCGCACCGACCAGCGGCAATGTGTTGTTCTTCTTCAAAAGCTCTACAGCATTTTGCAGTCTCTTCACCTCATTCTTCCATTTGCGAGTCTCCGACTCATTTTGTGCGCTATTAAAGATAATTAAAAAATGTTTACCCAAAATTCACCGCCAAGTTTAATCGGAGGTACTTACCGCAACACGCGCACTGCGCCTCGTTCGGTCGTCAAGCTGGACTTCAGCTCGTTGATCTCCAGTCTTAGCTGCTCTGTGAGCGCATTCAGCTTTTGTATAGTCTGCACATTTTCCTGCAGTTTGCGCTTGAGACGCGGTGGTGGCGCTGCGGTGGTCACGCCGGCAGCAGTGACTAAACCAGTCGCTGCCGTCACTGGCGCTGGTGCCTGCGCTGTATTGCACGCGTTTGTCTGTTTGATTGTCGGTGCGGCAGCAGCATTCGAGGCCGCCGCATTCGATTTTGCGCCACCCCAGCGTTCGGCGCGTTGTGCCACGCCCACATTGACATAGCTGCGCGTCGCTGACTGCGGCACTAGTGCCGGCAGCTCGGTGATGTGCAACTTGCCGCGGCAGTTCAGCTGTATGCCTTCGATGCGGGTGCGCTTCTCCTGATTCACCGAATCGTTGACGGAGGTGAGTGAAGCGGAAAGCTTCTTCTTGCGCTTTAGCTTATTCTTTACTTCCTGCCACTCGCCAGCGCCGGCATCATCACAGTCTTGGATATAGCTCACGAGCTGTGGCGCGTCTACGCCGCCCATTTTGGAGCTCAATTCGTTGTATTTTTGTTGGCGTTGCTTGACCAGTTGGTAGCTTTCGCTCAAACTGTTGGCAAGCTTTGTAAGGATTTGCACATTTTTGTGGTTGGCGCTACTACCAGCGGCGTCATTGGGCAACTGGGACGACGCTGGTGTGTGTGTAGCACCCTTTTTGTCATTCTTTCCATCTAACACGCTGCTAGAGGTCGTTTTTGTATATCTATCTGCCATTTTTACTCTCTAATTTAATCGATTCATACAAATTTTATATAGTTAAATTCGTGTTTTGTATGAATTTCGTTAAAAAAATATGTATGTTTTTAGTATTCAATACTACTTTCTAAAATTATGGTAAGTCCGACCCGTTCGAAAGTTGCTCTTAATTTAGTTTTATTTTATTTTAAATTAGCGGCTGCAAATACTGCTGCTCGGCTTTAGCGATCAATTTTTTGTAACAAATTAATTTCCGGTGCAGTGCGTGCGTGTATGTGAATATACATATATAAATGTCACCTCCTATTTGTGTATATGTATGTATGAGTACGAGTGCTTCTAACTCTGTAATTATTTTTTAATTGAGTTAGGTACGTATAATTCTTCAATAAAAATATATAATTCGATTATTTCTCAGGTTGCTTGGAGCTTAACTTTTTTGCCTCCTTCTTCCTCTTTAATGTAAAAAAGAATTTTCTGCAGCTTTTACGTTGCCTTCTTTGGTTTTAAATCAAATATCCGTTCACAATTCTAAATGGCACTTCTTGGGATTCTCCAGACTCGTTTTATCTGTAACAAAGGAGAGATACATATATTTCAGTACTTAATTATTAATGAAACATTCAAAAACTTTTCAAGAAAGAGGGTAAAATATTCAATAAGATTAAGGATGTATGTATGTATGCAGTTAATTTATCTACACGGCTGAGCAAGTACATTTTTGTTGTCTGCCGAAAAGTATGCAACAAATAAATTATGCGAAGCAAATGATCTTCACCGATCAAAAGCATTTGGCGGATATTTACTAAATAAATAACCCGTTAAATTTGAACGCAACATGAGAAAATATCCAGAATGGTAAACAAGTATTTAAAAATAAAACGCTACTACGGGCTAATATTCCCTAATACATAAACACATTAACATAAATACATACATACATATGTACATAAACGTGTGTGTAACTAATATTCATTACTTGCGTGCCATTAGGCGACAATCTTTTATGCTGCATTGCTCAAATAATAGCCATTATTTAGACTTAGACATTACAAACAAAATTTAGTTGCTTTCATGTTTGCCATTCGCACGTTTGTTCGCGTTACAAATAGCTCTTCCAAAGTATGTACATATACATACATATTTTTGTATGTAATAACCACATTCTGCCAACTTATTTACAATATCATGCAACTTGTCACCGTTTAAAGCACTGACGCGAAGAAGTCTACACCTGCACTTGTGAGTTTTCATTCTAACCCTTGCATGACTGCAACAAAATATGTATTTACATGCAATTTATTATCCCCACATTAGGGTGGTCCTTAAAAATGTCCGTATCTAAATTTTGTATGGGATAACCCTTTATTTTTTTCTACGCACAAAAGAAAGACATGCACGAGAATTTCAATATTTTTAAATAATTTTTGGTTTGAAAATATCAAAATTGCATGATTATAAAAAAAATTAAAAGATGCATTTTGAGCTCAGGCAAACCATACCAGATAATTATTTGTACACCAGTCTTTTTCGTTTTTGGGAAAATTGTTAAAAATGTTGCACTTATTTCGATGGCGGTCTTTGGAACTTTATATTGTCTGGTGCAACCATTAGCCGATGACTATAAATGTATACGAATAATTTTAATAATATATCAAATTTATCAGTTTACAATTTGTCAAACCCACAAAAGTTGTTTTCAAATATTGAAATTATCGTAAAAGTCCCTATCTTGAGCGTGCTCCATGCAAAATTTAGTTTCATATTTTAACGTTCACCCTAACCTACATATATACATACATATTAACTGTCATTGAATACTTATGTAAGTATATATATACATATACATATGTACATATATTATGTCACCGCAAGTTCACATTCACATAAACAGATAATCAATACAAAAACACAAATACATACATTTGAAACTAAGTATGTAATTGTTAGGCATAGAACTTTGTTGGACTTAAAAGCACAATTTTCTTGGCGCCACTGTTGCATATCAACAAGTCAATGTCTGATTATGTGGCATAGTGTCTAGGACGGCATATGCGAGCGTGTAATCTCAAAATATTTTCTAAGGGTTTATTGATTTTTGTTATGTATCTTAAGTGTGCATATGTACTATGTTGCTAAAACCAATGGTAGAACCTTTTTGCGATTCAATAGAACAGAAATAATATTTTGTTGTTGTATCATTGCGGTGACAGCCTGTTTGGCGTCTATGAATGGCTTAATTAATAAATGGTTTATGGCCATCATAAATTGGTATAAGTATGTATGCTTGTAATTGGAGAGATACTCGTTGTAATGAAAGTAGCTTGAGTTCCTTAAGTACACACAGACAAATACCTAGAAACATTTAGCGAATGCCTTCAAAAATGAAGTGGATATCCAGCCCTATTTAGTGCCTTAACCCTAAATAGTCATCTTTCCTGAATTGCTGCTATGCTAACCATATTTCTAATAGTTTAATTGCATTTACAAACAGTATTGGAAATTAATTTTAACTTGTAGATAACTTATTTCAATTTCCAAATAAAACAAGCAGTTTTTAAGAAGGAAATATTTATTTTTCCATTTTCCAGTGATCGGAACTAAACCAAATTAGTACGCGGCAACCCTTGAGATATCACCTTTCCTACTAAAAAAAGAACTATCGATAACGGTTCACGTGGTCCACAGTCATCTGGTAACATACATTCAAAAAAAAACATTCCGATGAATTGATAACCTTCCTTCTTTTTTTGAAGTTCGTTATTTGGATTAAGTTTTTTGAAATAAGGATAACTCATGAAAACTTTTTTTGATTACATGTGTGTGTATGTACATATGTACAACAGTAAAAGAAAAAATTGCCTCATCGTAATAAAGCATTACATACTTACAAAACCACTTTGCTCGTGTGCTGGAAGAGAGTCATAACTCAAAAACCAAAAACTCGAGAAAACGGCTTTACAGTTTATGAAGAAAAATAATAATAACCTAAAAATAAAATTTATAATAAATATAATCAGAAATTTTAAATCCGACTATGAAACTTCGAAGATACCCTAAGTTGGCTTTTGTTACTTTGATCAAAGTGTGAGTGTTTTCTAGCATTAATTGCTTAGCACAGCGAAACACAGATATACAAAAGTTGTGAAAATGACATACTCCCTTTTTATTGGATACAATTAACAAATGTGGTACCGAACTTGAAATTAACCGTAATTTCTACATACTTATCTCCAAAAAGTTTTTTAAAGACATTTTTTTTTTTACAAAAAAGCGATATGTACTTTCCCTATGTCATTGGACATAAATACAAAACCCTTTTACGTAAAATTGAATAATCCCCAGCCTAGCTGTAATACGGTGCATTGAACTTTTTCGCATAGAGTTTGTAGTACATTTTTATGTATGTATGTATCACAATAGCACATTATAAATACATGTGCGTAATCATATGTACATATGTTTAACAACCACCACTGTTTTAATCTAAAGCAATTAAGAACAATGTCAAAAAAGCTATAAATACGTGAATAAAGCTCAAAGTGAAAAGAACTCGTCGCCGTCTTGATTTGATATTTACACTAGGCGACAAATTAAATGTACACCTGGTTCTAATATAATGCGCACAATTATTTTCATGAACCATTTTTTCCATCAATTACTTATGAAAATATAGATTATTCTATAATATAAACCGTATAAATCTAAGTTTTACACTTTATACAAAAGTTCACAATTTTATCAAAGTTTTCAACTTTTTATTTATAATTTCAAAAAAAATAAGTCGAGTGTGCAACAACGTGAAATAAGTTCAAGTTGCGAGTAGTAAAATTACTATTGATTTTTTACGAATTTCTTTGTCGCATTTGCTACCATATAACAAATAAACACAATTTATTTTGGTATGGAAGGAAGCCGCAAAATTTCAAAAAAAAATTTCATGAAAATTATTGTGAAGATTATATTAGAACAAGGTGTACACTTTAATTTGGCGCCTAGTGTAGGTACAAGCATACATATGAACATACATATGTACTTAAGTTAAAGTGCAAAAAAGTAGTGAGTATCAAACATTTTTAGTAACTTATCTGTTCCTTAATATAGAAGGCGCTTTAATCTTTCTGCTTCTTTACATATTTATCAATTAAAATGCTTTATTAAAATTAAATCTATTTAGTTTAGAATTCCTACAAAAGAATTAATTAACAAGGACTAAGGATTCTAACTAATTTAATGTTGCAGTAGTTGCTTTTAGATTTCATTCAGTTTTCGATGACTAATTTACCAACTTTTGTTAAAGGCAGGATTTAAAAAAAAATAAGCGAACGCCTTTCAATGTCAAGTATGTATGCAAAAATATTCCCCAATTTTTCTAAAAAAGAAAATAA